TTTTATTTAACGAAACGTATTACGAATTTCTCCAAAAATCAATTATAACTTACAATGATTCCAAAGTAGTTAAAGTATGGCATTATATTATATCATAATAATACAATGCCATACAATAAATAGAATGGACGTTACGGGTAGGCCAGGGTATATAGAATTTTTATCGATATATTTCATTATAGTGTCTTATCTCTATTATTAGTACCATGGACCTTCACTTCTGCTGTAAGCGCCAAAATCGCGAAAATCAAATCGCCTCATTATATCATGGTATATAGCCAGTACAAAAATAGAGGTCAGTGACATTAATATATTATAACGGGAATGAAAAGAACTGTCAATTTTTTTTCATGCATAACACAATTTAAATAATATTGCAGAGCAGTGCTGACCTGGTGGTAAATGCCGCCGGTGTAGAGCTCGACGGTGGTGTGGCGCAGCTCGTCCTCCTCCACCACCACGTATCCGTTCGGCGCCTCTGCGCTCTCCGCGCTCTCCACTCCCTCCCCACCAGCACCCTCAACTGCACACAACACCGCTACAGTTCACTTCATCAAAGTGTTGTACTTAATACACGACAAATTATGGCGGCAGAAATTTTAATAATAGGTCGGGAAAGCAGTTTCTTCGTATTTATTTTGGAGAAAAATCTCTTTGGTTATAGTCTGTACATGGCTAGTTTTAATATCAATACATATAGGACATTAAAAACGAAAAATAAAAAGTAAAAACTTACCGCCAAAATTAGTAAATCTAACGAAGAAATTCGATACATTCTGAAGTTTTATTACATAAAAGGGTAACTCAAGCCGTGAAAAAAATTGTGACGTTTATGGATCTAATTGATGCAGTCTCAGTAAAAGTTACACAAAGTTGGTTCAAGCGTTTTCAGTCCGGGAATTTTAATATTAAAGATGCAGCTGGTCGCCCTCATACGGATAAAGTGCCATTTTTGAAACAGTGAAGCAAGATCAGCATATTAGTAGTTACGACATAGCCAAGGAATTGAGGATTGACTACAAGACAATTTTGACCCATTTGAAAATATCTGGCTATACAAAAAAAGTCTGTGTATCTGTATCTGTGTATCTATGTATCTGTGTATCTGTCGATCTGTTTGACTGTGTATCTGTGCGTCTGTGTGTCTGTGTATCTGTGTATCTGTGTATCTGTGTGTCTGTTTGTATGTGTATCTGTGTGTATGTGTATTTGTGTATCTGTGTGTCTGTGTATCTGTGAGTCTGTGTATCTGTGTGTCTGTGTGTCTGTGTATCTGTGTATCTGTGTGTCTGTGTGTCTGTGTATCTGTGTGTCTATGTATGTGTGTCTGTGTATCTGTGTGTCTATGTATGTGTGTGTCTCTGTATCTGTGTATTTGTGTGTCTGTGTATCTGTATGTCTGTCTGTAGCATCATAGCTCCTAAACGGACGAACCGATTTTGATTAAGTTTTGTTCCTCTGAAAGGTGTTTTAATCGAGTGTTGTTTCAAGAAAATGTTCAGAAGTTTCAAGATCATCAGCTCTTTTTGTTACGAGGGTTATTGAATTTTTTTATTTAAGTTATCAATTTTAAGTACTGAGTAATCACGTGCTCAGAGATGAATGGAGAAAACATGCATAAAACATGCTAAGGGAACATGTTTAATGAATAACAAAAATATATCGAAGACGAGTGAAATCTGCCAACACGCATTGGAGACACGGCAGACTGTCTTGCCCCCAAATAACCCACTCAGAACTGAGAGGAGGCTTGCGTCCAGTAGTGAGACGTACGAATGCTCTTTCTATTTTGATATTTATAATACAACATAATTATTAAAAAACTAAACATTTGTACTTGTAGGAAATAAAATCTGTAGAAAAACTGAAAGTTGTCGAACTCACCCTCAGGAGCTTCTTTGTTCTGAGTTGCCGTTCCATTTTCTTTCCTGTAGCGGAAAATTAAAATGATATATTATTCTCAAAAATTTCCTACGTTGACTAAAACACCTTTTATATGTATTTATTTATTTACATTTTAGGCTATAGAACATCTTAATAAAAAGGATAACAAAGGGCGGATTTAATGCCTTTTGGCATTTTCTCCCAGTTAACCTGGGACATAATGTCGTAAGATATTTATTCAATAATACAGCATAATATTAAGCAAAATAGAATGGAGAATTCTGCTTTTGCCTTTAATAGATTTCCATGAAATAAAAAACTATCCATCGCACTTACCAAATAATGTTTATTTATTTATGTATTTAATAAGTACATTTACAAAACACACGCACGACATTTTCGCAAAAACATACACATTTTTATACTCTCTGATATGCATTTCAATAACAAGTGTACGTAACATTCACAGATTGAGTCGTGCAACTTAATTTTGTTTTAAGAGCCCTCTTACATTTCGGCGTTTCGCAAATTTAGGTATTTTACGCACCGAGCGGGCGGCGAGCTTCGCGACCGACACTTTCTTTCATATCTATTCACTCGCTCGCACTATAATACTGTGAGTATGGCAATTAAACGATCTTGATCTTCCATAATACAAAGTTTTCTTAGGATGGACTTCAGTAGATGGAATATTTTTTGGTGTGTTATTTTAATGTTATCTTATTTATTATTATATAATTATATAATTTATTATTTATTATTATATACCATTTTGATATATTATTCATTATTTATGAAATTTAGTGTCAAAATATATTAACCGTCTTTAGAAGTATGCACATTTTTAATAATTAATTTCTTCTAAATCATTATAAAATGATAATTTATAATTGCTTATGTTTGACCAAAGAACCTGCGAGTTCTGAGCAGTTTATCTGTAGAAAGGAACATTTCCCAAACGGATACCATGGTGGTTACATATTACAATACCAAAAATTAAATTTAAAAATAGGTTCCAAAAGAAAAACAAAGCATTTATAGCATTTCTAAAATAACAAATATCCACTACCTGCTCTCCTTGATTTGTTCATTGATGATGCCTTTCATTTCTTTAGTGGACTCGGTGCTGCTCTCCACATCGGTTCTGTCGCTCTCGGTGTCTCGGCTCGTGGACAGATCCAGATCCTTCAGCGGTGTGAGATAGCTGTCGCTTAGTGCCGCCGCGTCTTCAGTTGCGTCGTTGAGAGTGAGGCTCTCGAAGTCCCTCTTCAGCTTGTACTCCTTGTTTTTGCGCTTGTTCATGAACGTAAGGAAGTTGAATTCGCTCGTCTCTGGTGTCTCCGCGGTGAGGAGAAAATAGAAGTTGGCACGGGAGTGCGTGACGAACGTGTCGCTTGCCTGGAAAGTGAATCGCCTTAGATCAGCATTCTGGTATATATTATGTGAAAACTATTTACTGAAAATACCGTGTAGTGGCGATGTAGGGATATCCACTACGCTATAGTCCCGTGGGCGTTGTAAAGATGGGACATAAGTAAACTGAAGCACAAGATGGGCAGCAACATCTTCTTGATAACTATTTAAAATTATTAAAAACAGCGGTAGTCAACCTTGTCTGTCAAGTGTGGCAACTATGGCAAAGTTCCCCATGAGGCAATTTGTGGCGGAGGCCTAGGTGGCAACGCATTTGCATTTTTAATCTTAATTGTGGATTGTATGTCTATGGGCCTCAGCATCCACTTACCATCAGGTGGACTGTTTGTTTGTCACTCCTATCCTATAAAAAAATATGTATACATTTTACAGAAAAGTGCTTTGTAATAGGGCGATCTACTTCATTCCATAGGTAAAGTGATTTGATCGAACAATAATTGATCGACTCAAGGTGGTACGTAAAATAGACGCTAGATGGCTTAAACACGACTAACTTAATATAAATCGGTAAGTTAAGAAATCGTGGATATGATAATTTTATTCAATATAGTTAATGTTTTTTTTTTGGTAAATTTGTTAATTTTTTCAACTGTTTATTTTAACAGTTAAAAGTTATATTAACCATCTGTAAATCACAACACAAGGAGGAGAGCGAGATAATAGGAAATACTGTATACTGTATTCTATCTCAGTCTTTTGCAGGCTAAATCCTATAGATGTACAAGCCGTAAAACCCTATTTCATCCCCTTAGGAGTTGAATATTTCAAAATCCTTTTTTAGTGGGTGTCTATGCCTAGAAAGGAGTATATATGCTAAATGAGTGAGTGAGTCAGTGGTATATATATACGTTTGTCTCTTTTTAGTGTCGCGTTTTCGTTTCATCGAGTTTCATACTACAAGGATTGTAAAAAGGTGTTGAGTGTAAGAGTGCGACCTGGTGCATGAGCAGCAGGAAGTCGCAGAGCAGCGCCAGGAGGCGCAGCAGCAGCGCGCGCTGCGGCGCGGCCAGCAGCGCGCGCGCCAGCCGCACCAGGCTGCCGCTGCCCGCCGCGCACAGCGGCCCGCTCTCCGAGTTCAGGAACCGCTCCTGTGCCACACACATTTCACACTTCATTATCTAAACATTAATGCAATTATTACAAAAAATCTAATTAGTATTGTTGCACGCCACTATTAATGTCTTGTACATGGCAACACTAGTTACCACTAGCGCCCTCTAGTATCGAGTAGCAGAACTAGAACAGTCAAGATCCTTCTAGAAATTTCGGGACCAATATGTACTCGAACATTCTAGATGTTTCTACAGTAGAAGGTTCTGAAAACTATATAAGGCTGGTATAGACGACGACCGAGTCAGTATTGAATTGACGATACAAGAGAATACCTCGAAGCGAAATAACTGCGAACTAAAGTGATCAGTAGTACAATCGTGTTTTATTATTAGTGTGATTTTAAATTGTAATTATAGTTCTGTAATTGAAGTGTCAATTTTGGTAATTCACTCAGCAGTTTTTAATTGTCTCGAACCCCAAGTACGTTACAGTATTCTGAAATTAATTAAATTTGTAACTAAATATTATAATGAGGAGGTATATCAATTAACAAATAATTTTATTTTTGTGATTTAATAATTGAGATTAAAGAATACTAAATAAAAGAACTTAATACTTAAAGTGAAAGTATGTTGATCAGCTTACCTATGATCGGTTAATCGGGCCTGTACTTAGAAGAAAAAACAACAAAAAACTTTATTGCAACGAATGTATAACGATGCTTTTTGTTATCGTTGGCGAAGGGGTGTGAGTATAGACAGAGACAGTGCGCAAGCAAGAAGTGAATAGAGACAACGCCATTCATAATCACACCGTTTCTTTCTTTCTTTGATAATGCACTCGTACGATTGAATTTTATCCTTTACGGTACACTTCTTCACAATATAATGATGCGTCACATTGCGGAAGTTTTTGGGAGATTGTTACGGTAGCTTGAGCCTACAGGCAGTCCATGGCAACAGTGTCTCAAAGCGCTTAAACATACACATTATCTTGATATTCACATTACCATCGCCGCATTTGTTTCGTAGTTTTTTACGTGGCAGAGCCATGCTGTAGCTATATTAGTAGTATAGTTGTAGCACGAATTGGTCGGCTCGACCAGGGAAGGACCAAGCTCTCACAGAATACCAGTGTAAAATAGCAGCTTAACTCTGCTGTGTTTCGTATGGTGAGTGAAGACAACCGGAGACCCTTTTTACTGGAAACGAGGCATTCCATCTTAGTCCTTACGGGTGACGACACATCTGCATTTTGATTTGTAATCGAAGATAGATGCAGAAGTCTATGGGCCTCAGCAACCACTTACGACCAGGTGGACTGTGTGCTCGTTTGTCACCCTTATCTTATAAAAAAAAGTTTTCACTAATAGTTTACACTTAAACGCAAAACTAGGTGGTACAAGAGAGAACAATGAGCTGAAGGTAGGTAAATTTGATAAGGCAACGAAACCCTAGTTGGCCGACATCATGAAAAAATAGGGACTTTTTATGATGAACACTTTCTTGATAAAAATTCCCTTTTTTTTTTCTTTTTTTGTATTATTCTAAGTCAACGCTTAACTACAATCCCACCTGATGGTGTGGTGATGTAGCCTAAGATGGTGAAGCGCACTGACTTAACAAAAGCCTATTCACTCTTGAAGACACCCACACTGTAATCGGATGGAAACACAGATGCTGGCAACTTATTCTACTCCTTTGCTGTACGCATGATGAACTTTCAATAAAATAAGAGTAGCTATCAGTCAGCGTTCAAGTTATTGCCAAACTCCTATTAGCCCTCATTGGTGACACGAAGCATCTTACTACTTGCTAATGTAAGTGTGACGTACAGTGGAGAGCCTTATTTAATACGTAGTATGCCATGCTGTAGTTATATTATAGTTGTAAGACGAATGGTGAGTACAGAGAACCGGAGAACCTTTTTACTGGAAACGAGACATTCCATGTTAGTCCTCAGGGGTGACAACGTTTTTGATAACATTTTGATTTTTAATCGCGGATAGATGTAGATGTCAATGGGCCACATCATCCACTTACTATCAGGTGGACACACTGAAGTCGTTTTTCACTGTGATCGTAAAATAAAAAAGCGTGTGTGACCTTGCAGGCGAGCAGCAGGTGGCGCAGCAGCTCAGCGCGCGCGGCCTGCTGCTGGTTGAAGGCGCGCCGCGTGCCGCCCAGCAGCGCGCAGCAGCAGCGCAGCACCAACGCCCACGCCGATCCCTGCTCCACCTGCTGCGCCTGCTGCACACCCCCGCCATCCTCCTCCCACGACACCTGCACCACCAATACTCCACTATGTACTTCAGCATCTTACGCATTACTTTATCACCATCAAATTCAAACAAAAACATATAACACAACTATTAAAAATGTCATAAATCAAAATCAAGATGTTGATTTTTGAAGCTTTAGACTTTTTAGGTGTTAAACACTGCAAAGTGTACTTCACATAAGGAGGCCAAACACATGTCGTATTATCGACGGTGGTGTCTTCCTCCTAGTATATTGGTGTTGGAGGTAGTGGTGCTGGGATTAGCAGTGAAGGGGGTAGTGCACCCAATTGACAAATCATTTTATTTAAATAATATGATGGATTTCCGCAAAGTAACGTCTGATTCTATTAATTACTAGCAACCCGCCGAATGGGAAAGGATTTTACGAAATTTCAGATCCTAAATAATAGGAAACTGTTTAAGTAACGGTGAGTATTAGAAATCTTCAGAGTTATGCTTACCACGTTGAGTGTTCTCTTAAAATTCTATGTTCAATATTGGATTTTAGATAAATGATAAAAAAGAAAAATAATTTGAAGATATCACAACCCAATATATTCATTAAAAAAAATTAAAGTAAATCCAATTGTGCATGCCCTAAGAGCATTAAAAAAATAACGTATAACATGATTATACGTAATTTTTTTTAAAGTAGTTTAAATACACACACGTTTTCACTAATAACGTTATTACTATATTTTCAATTTTCCAATAATTTTATGTCAAACTTCAATTTATAAAAAAAGTTTGGAAAATCCAAAGTGTACGACTCATAATGCTCATATGATCATCATATCATCATTCAGGTCACTCCATAAAGCCCAAGACGTATTTAAGTACGAGTATAAATATATACATCCTACTTACTTTTATTATGTAAAACTATTATTTATTCTGTACTTTTAAAATATTGCAATAAAAATTTCTGATTATTATAATAGTCAAGTATGTATAAAATTTGATTATCGAATATTTTGTATTTGTACAGCAATCTGTTTGAGGCGCTGCAAACAACCGATATAATTATCCACTCACGACTGATGCCGAAGTGAGTGAGTGAGGCAGTCTATTTAGTAAAATAAATTATTAGAAGGTTGCTAAAACACCAAAAATTTTTGATTTCTACGCCGAAAAAAATTAATTTTAACTAAACAAAAAAAAATTAAGCTGCCATTTACATTCCATGGCTTCCCACACGATAGATGAAGAGATTAAAAAATAGATTGAGTTAAACAATTGATATTTTCAAAAGTTATTGTGTTTACCACTTTATGCGGACGCGGCAGCTTTTGCTGTCGCACGGATGGGCCGGTTCGAACCGGGGTAGTACCACGACCTCACAGAACACCAGTTTACCTCTGCGTTTCGCTTGGTGAGTGCAGGTCGCCGGAGGCCCTTTTTACTGGGAATGAGGCATTCCATCTTAGTCCTCACGGGTGACAACGCATCTGCATTTTGATTCGCAAACGAGGATAGATGTAGATGTCTATGGGCCGCAGTAACCACTTACCATCAAGTGGACTGTGTGCTCGTTTTTCACCCTTATCCTATAAAAAAAAAAACTTGATAAATCTACACCATAAGCCACTAAAATCATTTTTATGCAAAAATAGCAATAAATCGATTTAAAAAACATTACTAAGTTCTACATTAATTACTTTTTGTGACAATGTGCTTTTTATATCATTTATGTGTTCAATATAATTGTTAGATACGATTTTATGCTACAAAATATAGAAATCTTGAGTTAAAGTCGCTAGTAGAATAAACCTACGCGTTTTGCACTTAAGGCATGCAAAATTATACTTTGTTATTGGAAACAACTGAATGATGAATATAAAGAAAATTAATGATGTATCAAGTAACCTTAATTTGAATATTTTCTTTCAAAATGTGGATACACAGATTTTAATACAAAATAAAGAAAACGTAAAATTTTGCCATTTTTATTCGTTACCTTTTATCTTATTTTATCTCGAAATTAATAAAATTACATAAAATAAATTTAATTGTAGATAGTTCAAGTTATTAAACAACATAAATGAATATTACGTTGTCTCTTCCAGCCTGATTACAAGTGTGACTCTTAAAGGCAAAAGTGAATAAGCATTCGTTACGTTAAGGCTGTGTGATTCACCATGTAGGGCTTCATTGCCACTCGTGACCAGGTGGGATTGTAGTCAAGCACTGTCTTATGATAAGTAAAAAGCCAATAAATGCATTTAAAGGTAAGTATTGATTATAGAAGCAGACATATTATCTCTACCATCCAGTACTGTTATACCGCACTGGATGGTAGTCTTTTTGAAAATTAATTTTTATTACTCGTACTTCTAACATGGGAGAAGAAACTCTTTAATTCACTTTAAATGTAAGGACTATTAAGAATTACATTTAGGTATATGCCTAAGTGCCGACCGCGACGTATGGATGCTTAACTTAGACTTGTGAGGACTCATGAGAACTCAGTTCACATAATCTACTACATTCCTTTGACTCTGGCACAAAAAACCGACAGCGATCGGAAGTCGCCCGAGGCGAAACGAGGTTGCACGAAGCGAATCGAAGTAGCTCTCTACATTATTCGCCTCGTCCAACTTCGATCTACTTCGCGAGTATTGTAGAGGAGGCATTATAATAAAGAGTTTGCCAAGTAATGACCAAACAGTCCAACGCTGCTCAATTTTAAGATATCGTTAAGTCTCGTGCTGTCTCTACCACTTTAAGTAAAAGTGACTGAGGCACGACGAGATTTAACAACATCTAAAAATTGAGTAGCGTTTGAGTATGTGGGCACAAGTGTTTATGGTGAGTGTAGAGAACCGGAGACCCTTTTGACGTGACAACGTCTTCTAATTCGATGAAGCTGGCTGCACGCACGAAAAAACATGACTCATGCGGCGTTACCTCGCTCTGAGGCGTTCCAGTTAAGGCTTGAAGTGCAAGCGAGAGCGCGGAACGAGCGACAAAGAGGCACAATCGGCCTCCGCGTTCGGCAGCGTTCGACATCTGTCTCTCTCCTACTTGAGTGAGCGATGCGTCCGCATGGACAGCTGCGCTACAATAATACATTTACATGTTTTCGTCAAGTATGAAGTGCAGTGAAAAATGAATGTGGTGTCAAATGCAACCAGTCCATCAGTATTTTCTTATGACGTTGTCACGTTCAACTGTCGTCAGTAAACCGACTTTACAGACAACCGATTTTTTACTGGAAATGAGGCATTTTATCGTCGTCCTCTGGAGTGATAATGCTTCTGCATTTTGATTCTTAATTGAGGATAAATGTATATGGGTTACAGCATTCACTTAACATCAGGTGGACTGTGTGGTCGTTTGTTACACTTATTCTATAAAAAAAAGTACATTATTAATTTCAGCCGCTAAAAGTCTACGGCTGAATATAGGATTTTCCCATAGATTGTCTTATAGGATTTTGCAATAGTTGCCACACTTGGCAGGTGGGTTAACACCGCAGTTTTTTTATTATTTTGAATCGTATCAGGAAGATGCTGATGCCTATTTTCTGTTTTAGTTTCCCTCTGTCGCCTCTTATTACAACACGGTAAAGCATAAGCGTTAACTCAGGGATAAATATAATGAATAGCCAATGTAACGGCACGCACACATACCTGAATCGTGTGTAGGAAGGGCCAGGCGCGCAGCAGCAGCAGCAGCAGGCGCGGCTCCAGCAGCGCGCAGTCGCCGCGCGTACGCAGCCGCACCGTGCCGTCCTCCTCGCCCCCACCACCGCTCACCACCAGTGGAGAGCTGCTGCACGCCGCCTCCAGAATTACCTGCCTCAGAACCCATACGCTACACACGTCTCATACATTAGTGTTCACACTTCCGTGGCGCATTAGCTTAAACAAGTATTTGTTAATATATAAGTTATGTTCTTTGCCTATAAATAAATTGTTCCGGGTCTGGAGGATGTTTGTCCTTGTGTAATTTATGTATGTATACTGCCCCCACGATTCAGAAGAAAATCCTAGAGTGGAGATAATGTTTTTACAAAAAGTAAAATGAAATTAAATTTAGCTGATTTTTCTTCTTTTGCTTTAGGTAGTGAGAATTGATATAGTGTATTGCTAAAGGTAAATGTAATTTTTGAATTGTAAAGAAATAGTGTAATATTAGTATAAACATTAAATATACTTTACACGTACTGTTTTAAGAGTATGTGGTATGCGGTTCATTGAGTTTATATTAGATTTTTTTATTTATCATTATATTATATGAGTTGAGTTTTATGTGTACATTATGTTTATAAGTATACATTTATGAATTATGTATATACGATATGAATCTTATATACATCTATACATATAATAAAACTGTAAATAGCAGATGTCTGTACATTTTATATTTTTGTAATAAAAGTGATTGAGGGGTACTAAAAATAAGTAATTAAATACATTTCTACCATTTTTAGAATTTTCTGTCTGTCTGTCTGTCTGTCTGTTTGTTTGTTAACGTATCACGTTTAAAGTACTAATTTATATCATAAGAATCGTTAAGGAAATTCTAAAGTGTACCTTCGGGTTACATTTAGTCTTTATTTCATTAAAATCGGTTCATTCCATCAAAAGTTATGATAAATATTCTGAAGTATGGCTACAAAGTATAGGTACGAATTTGATCAATGGTGGCGTTTGTTGAGTCATCAAGTACATTTTAAACTAATATCATATTATAAATCATAACATAATTAAATGATGTAAAATAATGTTCTATAATGATGAAATTATATCTAAAACGCAGTAAACAAAAGTATTGCATAAAGAACGTAATAAATATATTAAAAAATATATTAACCTTATTATGTAAATCTAAAGTACAATAGTTAACCCATTTCATCGATAGATGGTGGTGTTGCACAAATGTCATGCAAGAAGGCAGGTTGTGGTTTTTTTTTTCTGTAAATGACTTTTCATATTTGCTGTTAATCTTTAAATTACTCGCTGCCCTACTGTGTATTGACAATATCATTTATTCTTTACCGCCGAGTACTCTACATGGTAAATCAAATTTTAAAAGAGCTATTAACAATTTCGTTGGTTTCGGCGAGGATCAAACTTTCTTTCTTACTTACGATGTAGGCCTGATTTATAAGTTCTTTTTAAGTTTTTTTATTGTATCAATCGCGTCAATTAATCTCTTTTATTTTTAGAATTGATTTTAACAGCGCCATCTATCCTTATATCTCTATACATGCGGTAATCACATGCTGTGTCTGATTCTGTACATTGTATAGTATATTAATTTGTGACTAAAATCATTATGGAGACTGAAGCTCATTAAATAAGTACATTTTTATAATTTTTAGAATTGTCTGTCTGTCTGTTTGTTTATGAACGCATCACGTCTCACGTAAACATCTTTTTTTCAAAGAAATTGTTTAGAAAATCATAAAGCGTATCATCCAGTTCAAAGATTAACTTTATTTATTAAAATTGGTTAATTCTATCGAAAGTTTTGATTATTATTTTGAAATGTAGGTTCGATTTGTTTAAAGGCGCCATAAAACCTCAGAAATAGTAATAAAATGATTCCTTTTTATAAAAAAACGTTTTATTATAATATATTTATACTTTAAACACAGTAAACAAAAAATATGTTTTCCTTAAATTAAAAAAGGATGTCTTCCACGAAGAACGTAATAGATGGCGTTGTACGTTAACGAGTCCATTCAAGCTGAAAGAGCCGTGTAATGTGTAAGCTAACAGCACAAACATCATCAAAAACAGATATCAGAAAAAAGATACGTACGCCCAAGCTAAACGTAGCAAAATTGCATCAAAAACAATATGTCATGATGTTGTTTTATACCAAGAATCCACCTTATATCAAATAACTTTCCTTTCAGTTCTAAGCGTGTTCTGTTCCCACTTCCCATTCCCAGTCAGCGTGTGTTATGCGATGACCGATGACCATAAATAAAGCGCAAGGTCAAACTTTACGCGTTGCAGGAGTGGACCTCAGTACTGACTGTTTTGCACATGGCCAACTCTATGTTGCTTTTTCCCGCGTTAGTAGCTCCCGTAACATTTTTCTGTACGCCCCGGCTAAGTCTACTTCTAACGTCGTTTACACAGAAGTTCTATCACAAACGACTCAGAACTTTGAGCATAACGATTTATTTTGGTGCCACTTATTCATACAGTAATGATATAAATCTTTTAATATTCTCTTACCTAAACGTCAAATTCTTTAAGTAAAACCTATATACGCGAGCTACGCCGCGGGCACAGCTAGTAATATAATATAAATAATATATTATATTATTAATATATTAATAATAAAAAAAATAAATGAATACGATTGGAATAGGGCAACGGAACCCAAGGGGCCAGCAGCTGGCCGACTTCATGGAGAAAGAGGGACTCTTTATGATGAACTCTTTCTTCCAGAAGCGGCCCCACAGGAAGTGGACCTGGTCGAGCCCCGACGGTTCGACAAAAAATGAGATTGACTTCATTATGACGACCAGACGACAACTGTTCAGTGATGTCTCCGTGATCGCGAGGGTGAAAACTGGTAGCGATCACCGAATGGTTAGAAGCACACTGAACCTAAACGTTAAGTTGGAGAGGTCTCGTCTAATGAAGTCAACGCTCCGTCCCCCTCGTGCTTTGTTCCAAAGTCCCGAAACCTTTCAGCTCGAGTTACAAAACCGTTTTCAGTGCCTAGAAGACTGCAATGAAGTGGACGATATGAATGACAAGCTCGTGGAAACTGTCCATGCGGTCGGAGCTAAGTTCTGCAAGACCCGCCGCAGAAGAACACAAAAACTCTCCGATCACACTCTTAATCTCATGGCTGTTAGACGGGAGATGAAGCTACATTCTTCAACAGACTTGACAGCATACAGGCATCTGAACAGACAGATCTCCAAATGCATGCGGCGGGACTTGCGCAACTTCAATACAGCTCGTATTGAAGAAGCGATCGAGCGGAACCAAGGCTCCAAAGTCTTTGCCAGAGATCTGTCTGCCAGAAAGAGCCACCTGTCAAAGCTAAAGACAGAATGTGGCAGCATCGTTTCCGGGACACCTGAGATTTTGAGTGAGATTGAGAGGTTCTATGGGCAGACGTACACGTCATCGTTGGAGCCACACGCAAGTGTGAGTAACGATCCAAGAGCGAGTCTCATCCGACACTATTCCGAAGATATCCCGGACGTCAGTCTGAGCGAGATTAGAATGGCTCTTCAGCACCTTAAAAACGGTAAGGCCCCAGGCGAGGATGGAATTACAGCGGAGCTTCTGAAAGCGGGTGGAAGACCGGTACTTGAAGTCCTTCAGAAGCTCTTTAATTCCGTCCTCCATGGTGGCATTACACCGGAGGCGTGGAGCAGAAGTGCGGTGGTCTTGTTCTTCAAGAAAGGTGACAACGCTCTCTTGAAGAACTACAGACCGATTTCCCTTCTGAGCCGCGTCTACGTGCTGTTTTCGAGAGTCATTACGAATCGTCTCGCGCGCAGACTTGACGACTTCCAGCCTCCCGAACAAGCCGGTTTCCGAAAGGGCTTTAGCACCATAGACCACATACATACCCTTCGGCAAATTGTACAGAAGTCCGAAGAGTACAATTTGCCACTATGTCTGGCGTATGTGGACTATGAGAAAGCCTTTGATTCCGTCGAAATTTGGGCGGTGCTGCAGTCCCTTCAGCGGTGCCAAGTTGACTGTCGGTATATCGAAGTGTTGAAGTGCTTGTACAGTAGGGCTACGATGGCTATCCGAGTACAGAACCAGAGTACGAAACCTATCCAATTGCAGAGAGGTGTAAGACAGGGTGACGTCATATCCCCGAAACTCTTCACCGCTGCATTGGAAGACGTTTTCAAGCTTCTGGACTGGAAAGGATACGGTATCAACATCAATGGCGAGTACATCACTCACCTTCGATTTGCCGACGATATAGTCCTTATGGCAGAATCGCTGGAGGACCTAAGCACTATGCTCAATGACCTCGATAGTGTTTCCCAACGGATAGGTCTTAAGATGAACATGGACAAAACAAAGATCATGTTCAATGTCCATGTCACACCTATGCCGGTAGTTGTTGGGAGCACTAAGCTCGAAGTTGTTGACGAGTATGTTTACCTGGGACAAATAGTCCGACTAGGTAAGTCCAACTTCGACCGAGAGGTCAATCGACGGATTCAACTCGGCTGGGCAGCGTTCGGGAAGCTACGACACATCTTCTCGTCAGACATACCTCAAAACCTGAAAACGAAATTGTACAACCAGTGCGTGTTGCCAGTGATGACTTATGGAACTGAGACGTGGTCCTTCACTGCTGGCCGTATGAGGAAGCTCAAGGTCGCTCAGCGAGCTATGGAGAGGGCTATGCTCGGAGTTTCTCTGCGTGATAAACTTAGGAATGAGGATATCCGCAGTAGAACCAGAGTAACCGACATAGCCTAACGGATTAGTAAGCTGAAGTGGCAGTGGGCCGGCCATATAGCTCGAAGAACCGACAACCGATGGGGAAGAAAGGTTCTCGAGTGGCAGCCTCGTACCGGTAGGCGAAGTGTAGGGCGTTCCCCCACGAGATGGAGTGACGACCTGGTAAGACATGCAGGAGGTCGATGGATGCAGGTGGCTCAGGACCGTGCTTTGTGGCATTCTTTGGGGGAGGCCTATGTTCAGCAGTGGACTTGTGAAGGGCTGTAATGATGAAAAATGATGATATGAATACTTTTTATTGGTATTTATTTTAATATCTACTTTTATATTTTTATACTATTACAAATACGTTAATAGAAAATAGCTCGGGTATTAAGTTT